TCAAATGAGAATCGAAAATTTGTTTTAGTTGTCGATGTTGTTTGCTCGTGGAAGCCGTAAACACGTATTGAATATCTTTATTTTTCAGGATTACGTGCTCAGCCACGAAACTTAACTCGGTAGAAAAACCCTGATTTTTGCGAAGAAAAACGCTTTTACTTCTATAAATAAAATGAATTTCGATAAAAGATTAGATTAACTTACCTGTATTTCGTGTTTGGAATCTTAACTTGAAAGAAAAGGTTTTTTAAACCGGTTTTAATTTTGCTGAATGAGGAAAACAAAGTTTCAAAATTGCCGCCATTTTCGTTGTCAAGGAAGAGAAGCAGCTTAGCAACGCGATTTGGCCGCGCGCGCGCCTGGAACCTAATGTCGTAATTGAAACAGCCGTGATTTACGGATAATTGATAACGCAAAGAAGAAAAACAAAGTTTTATTTATACTCACGTGGCGGCGGCTTCTGTCACTGACAGAAGTTTCTTGTTGCTGCTCTGAAAGCCAGATCGTTGGAGTTGCTCTCGGAAGCAAACGTCTTTGCATTCCCTCGATATGTAGTGCCCTTGCGAAAACTTTTTCTTCAAAGTGTAGGGAGCACACAACGAATCTTCCTGGCGGGTTGAAGTTCGCCCTGTGAAGACGCACAAACCTTTTCCATTTGTCGCCGTCTTGCTTGTTTTTCGGCGAATAATGCAACGATATACCATTCGATTTGTTGGCGAGATTATTGCAGCCAAAAACCACACAGCGATTTGCTGGCATTTTACTCGCCGCGAGCTCTCTACAAAATATTTGTAACTATAACACGAAAGTTTGACAGAGTTTGTATACTGATTAGCCACGAGTGTTTTGGAATGAGTAGAGTAAATGACGTCATAGCCCTCACTCATCCCCAGTCTTCTGAGCCAAATCATTGATCAAGAAAATTAATGGCGGCCGGTAGTAAAAACGCAAAATTTTCAAACTTCCCGTCGGAATATGAAGAAAAAATTTCTACAGGTGATTAATAGGGTAGTATGGATTATTTGGACGAAGTTTCAAGTTTGTACGAAAAGATAGCAATTTTCGTCCAAGGGGCACTTTAAGTACTTTTATTTTCAAAATGTTCCACAAGAAGAGAACAAAACGGCCTTGGCCTTATTTTTATTTCTGTGGCAGTGCYTTCAATAGGAAAGTCATTTCTTATCATTTTATAAGAGTTTACAAAAACTGCTTTCCAACACACTCTGGAATCCACTGCACCTACAACAAAAAACTATTAATTACAATTGTATTTTTTCTTTTGATTTTAAGGACAATACTAGCTGCACTGCACTTTAATTACAATGTGGACAGAGGGTCAAAAAAGGATGATCAGAGAAATGTCAAACTGAGGGTAACATACACCAAATTTAAATATGGAGAAGGCACAGTCCAAGAAGTGAAAACAGTACAAAATTATGGTAAATACTTACCTATAAACAGCGTGTGAGCCAATACACMCATGTTAGACAGCTCACTAGTCACGTGACATCAACAATGTTTATTCCCTAACGACAAAAATACATTTGTATAGATTRTGTAGGTGATATATACAAGACTCTCATGGAAACACCTAAAGACGAGCTTAAACAAATCAGAGAAGAATTAGAACTCAGTGTYCCTGCCCCACTGCATAGCATGCTAGAAAAAGAAGGAAAAGAAGAAGCAGTGAATAGATACAAAGGAAGAAAAGCACAAGAAACACCAATTTGTCCACCAACGTGTACAGGTAAGCAAAAGACAAGAACATTTTACCTTTAGAAAGGGAAAGGTGTTAATAAMTAATACACAGGAGGGTTAACAGAATATAAATTTATGAGAAAACAATACAGTAATTCAAATCAATCTTTCTGGTAACAGATGAGGAACTACATGGTTTGATACAACCTTCAGCAAGAGGAACAAGGAAAGCACCCGAGTGCAGAAAATGTGGTCACCCCATGAAGGGTCATAAGAAAGGAGAATGTTCTGCATAATGTAGTTCCTTAGTAGTATGTCAACTTAGTACTGTTTATTTGTTTGTGTTTTTAKTTTTTAGTTTTATGATCACTTTTTATGGTACAGCACAAATATATAGTAGCAATATATAGGCTTAACCATATTATAAAGTAGAGTACTGACTTACGTTGCCGAATCATTTTCTTCTTCAAACTGCAGTTCTTCCTCTTCATTTTCAGTGTCAGTCTCAGATTCTTCTGCCTCTTCTTCCTCTTCTTCCTCTTCTTCGAATCCCCGGTATATTCCATCTTGGGAAGGGAACTGATTTCGTACTGCGTTATACACACAACAGGGTAGAGGGAGTCGAGTTCGTTTTCCATCATATTCCCATATCAGGCGATAAAACTGCCGATATGCAACCACAGGTAGCCCAAGCTTGGTTTCTGTGGTGTCCTGTTATAAGGAAATGTATGGGGAATCATCAAAAATTTCAATAAAATCATCAAAACGTGAAATAAAGCCTCGAAATTTTACCTAATCATTGAGAAATAGCCCTTCTTTCGCTCTGCGTGGTTATTTTTTGAATTTAGCCCGTTTTAAGGATTTTTTTCCCCACCAGTAAGAAATAAGAGAAGGTTGGAAACTCGGGATCCAAAAGCGAGCCATCACGAGTCTTTGAAACCTCGTACGTCTTCGAATTTTCTTTCCAGCGCCAAATTTTAGTCATGACTCTTCTCTCACATCCCTATAGAACCGAGAAAGTCGCATTAGAGATTAGTCTTCGCGTCTTTAAGCCATGAAATTTGCC